GTTAGAATTGTGTTGATGTCCCAATATTTATGGACCTGACTGTATATTTGAAAATGTATTTTTAATATATATATATATATATATATATATATATATATATATATATATATATATAAAAAAATGCATTCCAACATACACTATATATACACATACGAACACACTAGATTGTATGTATGTATATATTATAATACACTCCTAGATTGTAAGCTCTAACAAGCAGGGCCCTCGGTTTCCTCTTGTATCAAATTGTATTGTAACTGTAATGTCTACCTTCATTTTGTAAAGCGCTGCGCAAACTGTTGGCGCTATATAAATCCTGCATAATAATAATAATAGATATATATAATATGGCCCAAATTGTAGTATTTCAGATATATGTGAGTATATTTGGGAAGAATATTTTTAAAATATATTTTTCTTCCACATGGGTTGAATGGAACAGTTTTACAATATTATGGGCAAAAGTATATGGACCACCACACCTACCTACAGTACTATGCAAAAGTTTTAGGCAGGTGTGAAAAAAAAATTGCTGTTTATTTTTATCAATTAGCAAAATGAGTACAAAAAAATTAAATGTATAGAAGAGAAATCCAAATCAAATCTATATTTGGTGTGACCACCTTTTGCCTTTAAAACAGCAAATCTTCTAGGTACACTTACACAGTTTTTTTTAAAGGAAGACAGCAGACAGGTTGCTCCAAACATCTTGGAGAACCAATCACAGATCTGTGGATGTAGGCTGCCTAAAATCCTTCTGTCTCTTCATGCAATACCAAACAGACTACACGATGTTGAGATTAGGGCTCTGTGGGGCCAAATCATCACTTCCAGGACCCCTTGTTCTTCTTTACACTGAAGATAGTTCTTAACGACATTGGGAGTTATGTTTGGTGTTTTTGTATTGCTGCAGAATAAATCTGGGTCCAATTGCACGCCTCCCTGTAGGTATGGCATGATGGATAAGTATCTGCATGTATTTCTCAGCATTGAGGATACCATTGATCGGGCAACGTTGACAACTGTAGATGCAGTGGTCGGTCAAAGAAATTTAAGGCAGCAGATGAAAAACACATCATGCTTACTTTCCTTCGACATCATAAGATGTCCAGCAGTGCCATCAGCACAGAACTGGCAGAAACCAGTGGAACCCAGGTACACCCATCCATCTACTGTCTGGAGACGTTTGGCCAGAAGTGGTCTTCATGGAAGAACGGGAACCAAAACACCATACCTCAGATGTGGAAACAAGGCTAAGTGATTTAACTATGCACAAAAACATAGGAACTGGGGTGCAGAAAAATGGCAGCAGGTGCTCTGAACTAATGAGTCAAAATTTGAAATATTTGGCTGTAGAAGGAGGCAGTTTGTTCACGGGTTGAGATGGAGGATGGTATAATAATGAGTATCTGCAGACAATAGCGAAGCATGGTGGAGGTTCCTTGCAATGTTTTGCAGCTGCCTTTCTGCAAATGGAGTTGGAGATTTGGTATCAATCAATGGTGTCCTCAATGCTGAGAGATACAGGCAGATATTTATCCATCATGCCACACCATAAGGGAGGAGTGTGACTGGCCCTAAATTTATTTTGCAGCAGGACAACAACCCCAAACATATAGCCAATGCCATTAAGAACTACAGTGCTTTGAAAGAATTCATACCCCTTGAAATTTTAAACATTTTGTCATGTTACAACCAAAATAGGGATTTTATGTGATAGACCAACACAAAGTGGCACATAATTGTGAAGTGGAAGGAAAGTGATAAATGGTTTACAAATTTTTTTACAAATAAATATCTGAAAAGTGTAGAAAGCATTTGCATTCAACCTCCTTTACTCTGATACCCCTAACTAAAATCTAGTGGAACCAATTGCCTTCAGAAGTCACCTAATTAGTAAATAGAGTTCACCTGGGTGTAATTTATTCTTAGTATAAATACAGATGTTCTGTGAAGCCCTCAGAGGTTTGCTAGAGAACATTAGTGAACAAACAGCATCATGAAGGCCAAGGAACACATCAAACAGGTCAGGGATAAAGTTGTGGAAAAGTTTAACGCAGGGTTAGGTTAAAAAAAAAAAATATCACAAGCTTTGAACATCTAACAGAGCACTGTTAAATTCATCATCCGAAAATGGAAAGAGTATGGCACAACTGTAAACCTACCAAGACAAGGCCATCCACCTAAACTAACAGGATGGACAAGCACAGCATTAATCAGAGAAGCAGCCAAGAGGCTCATGGTAACTGTGGAGGAGCTGCAGACATCCACAGCTTAGGTAGGAGAATCTGTCCACAGGACAACTATAAGTCGTGCACTCCACAAATCTGGCCTTTATGGCAGAGTGGCAAGAAGAAAGCCATTGTTGAAAGAAAGCCATAAGAAGTCCCGTTTGCAGTTTGTGAGAAGCCATGTGGGGAGCACAGCAAACATATGGAAGAAATTGCTCTGGTCACGAGACCAATATTAAACTTTTTGGCCTAAAAGCAAAACACTATGTGTGTCGGAAAACTAACACTGCACATCACCCTGAACACAGCATCCCCAACGTGAAACGTGGTGGCAGCATCATGTTGTGGGGATGCTTTTCTTCAGCAGGACAGGGAAGCTGGGCAGATTGATGGGAAGATGGATGGAGCCAAACACAGGGAAATCTTAGAAGAAAACATGTTAGAGTCTGCAAAAGACTTGAGACTGGTGCGGAGGTCACCTCCCAGCAGAACAACACCCTAAACATACAGCCAGAGCTACAATGGAATGGTTTAGAGCAAAGTATATTCATGTGTTAAAATGGCCCAGTCAAAGTCCAGACCTAAATTTGATTGAGAATCTGTGGCAACACTTGAAAATTGCTGTTCACAGACACTCTTCATCCAATCTGACAGAGTTTGAACTATTTTGCAAAGACGAATGGGCATAAATTTCACATGTGCAGAGCTGGTAGAGACATCCCCAAAAAAACTTGCAGCTTTAATTGCAGCGAAAGGTGGTTCTACAAAGCACTGACTCAGGGGGGCTGAATACAAATGCGTGCCACACTTTTCAAATATTTGTAAACATTTTTGAAAACCATTTATCATTTTGTTTCCACTTCACAACCATGTGCCACTTTCTGTTGGTCTATCACATAAAATCCCAGTAAAATACATTTAAGTTTTTGGTTGTAACATGACAAAATGTGGAGAATTTCAAGGGGTATGAATACTTTTTCAAGGCACTGTATCTTGGTTGGTGTTGGTTTGTCCCTTCCGGAGCCCTGATCTCAACATCAAGTCTGTCTGGGATTACATGAAGAGACAGAAGGATTTGAGGCAGGCTACATCCACAGAAGATCTGTGGATAGTTCTCCAAGATGGAACAACCTACCAGCTGTGTTCCTTCAAACACTGTGTGCAAGTGTACCTAGAAGAAGTGATGCTGTTTTGAAGGCAAAGGGTGGCCACACCAAATAGAGATTTGATTTAGATCTCTTGTCTGTTCATTTACTTTTTTTTACTCAGTTTGTTAATTAATAACAAACTATCACCAGCATTCTTAATTTACAGCATATTTTTCAAACCTGCCTATAAATGTTTCCACAGTACTGTATGCCACCAAAAGTGGTTTAAAAACACCCCTCTACATTATTAAGTTCAGGTGTTTTCAGTGAAGGGCACTGTTGATGTTCATACAAAGACATTTTGGGCAACTGTATGCTTCCAACCTTGCAGCAAAAGTCTATTTTCTGTTCCAGCATGGCTGTACCCCTGTGCACAAAGCCATCTTCATGAAGACTTTTTTCAACACCTTTGTTATACATTGCAATGCGAACTGTGAGCCCAGTCATCTTGTCCAACACTAGTACCTGACATCACAAATTGGCTGAATAAACACATAATCCCACAGACAATCCAAAATCTTGTGGAAAGCCTTCAGAGTAAAGTGAAGGATGTTATGGCTGCAAAGGGGGCACAATGCCCATGATGCGGAAAAGGGTTTTTGGCACTTCAGAGGCAGTTTAGAGGGCCTGGGAAAAGTAGTAGATTGTTGTACTGTGTTTGTGTTCATTAGGATTTAGTGCATAGAATTCAGACTTGCTTTAAGATAATAAAATGATAACCCTGAAATATACAAATGTATGATTCTGTAAAACTAAGGAATCTGCCAAAAATGTGGCAAGCATGGTCATGTCTGCTGAGGAAACCTCAGCTGGAAGGTGAACTTCAGCTCTGCCTCAACATAGCCAACATCTCTTAGCTTTCACCTCATGTAAACCAACTGATAAATTATACAGTGTCCAATTATGAATGTCATGTCACGCTAAGCATTTTGTATAAAATGTAACCCTCCACTACTGCGCAAATTAGCCCAAAATGTTTAATGGTGTTACATGCAAATGAAGATTTGGGTAAGGCACTGATTAGTAGATGATGATTAGTGCTTGTTTGCTCTCGATTAATTCTGTAATATTATACTTTAATCACAGCTCAGTCTGACGCTATACCACCTGGCTCTCTCTTGACTTTCAGAAGTACAGCACCATAGAGGCATTTTAACTCCGTGCATGCAACTAGCTCCATAGAACTTGATCTATAAGAAGAGGAAAGCCTCTAAAGTTAGCAGTATGACTGATCTTTCAAGTCAAAGCAGCTGAGCTTGTATATATGCAAAGGAAATAAGAAGAATCGCTCCCCTGTGAGAACTTATATCTGCTTTAACTTGGCTCTGGCAGTGTTTTAATGCTTTGAATGAAATCTTGCACATTGACCTGACGTTACTTTCTTCTACTCTTTACTGGAAAATAATTTAATAAACTGGTTGATGCTGAGCAGATTTTCCTTGGAACGTTTATTTCCTAATCAGGGCAGAGGTTAAATTGTCCTTGTATGGCCATGGTAATAGATGTTCCTGACAGATGTGTTATTGTCTGTCCTGACACAGCAACATATGAGAATAACTGGGGTTAATGAGTATGGCTTGTGGCTCTTCTTCATGGTGTTGACAATGATGTGAAAACATACCAGGAGAGGACCAGCAGAAGTATCCCGAGGAGAGTAGCTGCCCGGATAATCATCCTCTTCCTCTTGGACCTGCTGAAAACTGCGTTTCAATGTTGTCTTCTCCTCGACCACTACAAAGTGAGACAAAATATATTAACATCAGACAAATTAAAAAAGTTACTTAGATATTTGAGATAAGAGGAACATAAACCCACTGGATTAAAGAATGATTACTTTCATAATGGATGATTAAATCCATTGCTTGGTTATGGAGTTAATTTACTAGGAGTGGAGACTGTTCACTTAAAATGTTTTTTTTTTTTATAGTCAAATTTGAGAAAACCCTACAATTTGTATGTGTTCTGAAAAACTTCAGAGTAGTTTGTCCTAATAGAAAAACTTAGGATGGGCTGAGTTTCCTCTGATTAACATATAATGAAAAATCCATGATTCTATATCTTAAATACTTTGTAAGGACAAAAAGGTTTCAAATCTAGTTTACAACTGATAATTAAATCTGACAGCACAGCGCAGACAGTGTTCACACAAGCAACTGAACCCCTCATAAACAAAGCGAAGTAGGAATGCCAAACTTTGAAAAGTTGTCTGGAATGGGTGACACAGCTGTACATATTTAGAATGGAGGAGAGATTTGTGTCACTGCATTGTCGGAAGTTGGTCATGCAGGATTATAGATACTGTATATTAGCAACTTTCTATTTAAAACAACAAGGCTAGAAAACATGGAAGTTAAAAGGGTTGTAAAAGCTAAAGGTTTTTAACCTTGTTGCATTCTCTGCTTTAAGGTAAAAAAACCTTGATGGGGGGATGAGCCAGGAAGGCCCACGGGGGACCCCAGAAGAAGAGGATCAAGGCTGCTCTTTGCAAAACTATTGCAAAGGGCAGGTAAGTATAATATGTTTATTATATAAAAATAAAAAACTGAACCTTTAATATCACTTTATTAAATGACAGATTACATAATATGTATTTAATTCTTAGGTCTACTTTAATGTAAATTGCTTTGCCATAGTTTACAATTTCAGAATTAAAAAAAAAAAAAAGTGGAACTTTTTATTGATTTCCAATAAAATTTGTTTTGAAATTGACACAGATAACACTAGAAATATAAAATATACTTTTTGTGTTGTCTTTTTGCCTTTAGAGTGCATAGAAAAAAAAGCAGCAAAATAATACTCTCAATAGGCTTGTTTGGCGCTCAGAAAATAGAATGCATTACTTCAGTATCACATGTAATGATAACCTTATTGAAGCATTGGAAAAAGGAGAGACCCCCTAACACTGGGACTTTAAGGGTTTAGAAGGTACTAGAAGTATTGACAAAGGACACATTTTATTTGTCAAAAAAGGTGATAACACAAAGACATACAAAACAATACATCATACAGAGTCATAATAAAGCATCACAATCAGAAAATGAAATTACATAAGGATACCCAGTATGACTGTGTTTTGACTGGTCATAAAAGATTTAAATTGGTATCATCATGTAAATAAGCTGCAGAGATACTAATCTAATTGTTCCAACACGTTTCAGAGTGATTACACTCCTTCCTCAGGGAAAAGAGAAGAACTCTGCATATGGATGACATCATCTACAAGATTAAACATATTTGTTTGGTACATATATGTTTAATCTTGTAGATGATGTCATCCATATGCAGCGTTCTCTATTCCCTGAGGAAGAAGTGGAATCACTCTGAAACGCGTTGGAACATTTAGATTAGTATCTCTGCAGCTTTGTCTATGATGATATCAATTTGTATCTTTTATGACCAGTCAAAACACAGTCATACTGGATATCCTTTATCACGTAATTTCATCTGATTGTGATGCTTTATTATGACTCCATATGATGTATTGTTTTGTATGTCTTTGTTTAATCACCTTTTTTGACAAATAAAATGTGTACCTTTTCAATACTTCTAGTACCTTCTAAGCCCTTCAAGTCCCAGTGTTAGGGGGTCTCTCCTTTTTCCAATTGTTATATTGGGGATGTTAGCTTATAATCAGGAACTTTTCCCTTCCTTTCTTGCATCATTAATCAAGTCACTCCGCTGACTCAGTCAAGTGTATTTAAATCAAAGAACAAAATACAATGAAGCTCACCAGTCCTTAGATGTGGCAGCTGCATTCGTGACCCCCCCCATTCCTTGTTTTAACCTGGTAATCCTGAGCAGTCTTTTTGTCCAAGGGTGACAATGCTCGCTCTCACTGTTCTGTACCTCTGAAGGAGCTGCGTTATCACCCTAGGACAGAAAGTGTGTTACAGACAGGATCACCAGGTTGAAAGAATCCTAATGCAGCCACCTCATCTAAGGACTGGTAAGCTGCAATATATTTTATTTGCATTTTTTTTTTAATCTAGTTACTTTTGAATGAGTCAGTGAAGTGACAATTGATGCACTACTTCAACAAAACGCTATCAATGGTATATGTAACAAACCAAAAGAACTAAATAAAAAGTTCATTGTTAGGCTCCACATACCCTGTGTGTAAATTTCAGTTTGAGCTATTGAGTTCTATAAATAGTGAAGCTAAGAACAGACCAATGCACACTATAAAAAGAGCCTAGAGCTCAACCATTTGTGTTGTGGAAATAAAACACAATGCATTAAAAGCAATATTTTGCATTCACCTGGATGACAAAGCCTATAACACCGCTTTGTGCAATGGTTGGCATTTTACAGCCTTTTTTTTACCATGTAAGAGTTTAATAGACTTCGTATGCATGGTTAAAGTTTTTTCCTTTGAGCACAGGTCCACTTGGGAAAAGTTATCATCGTTTCTGAATTTAGCGAATCCTATAAATAGCACACTAACTGAATAAAAAAACATTAACGCAAAGTAGGAGAGCTTTGTAATCTGCCTTGTACATCATGGAAGTGACAGAATTGCTCAGCTCCTTTTGTACCGTATTCATATATTCTTATTGAAATCAAACGTACTCTACAAGTAACGCCTCAGAAAGAGACATTTATGTATTCCAATTTACGCCGGCGAAGGCTTAATCTCTTCCAGCAGGGTTCTGTCAGGTTGTGCCCACAGGACAAAAAAAATAAAATAAAATAAATGTGCTCACTGACATGGTGTGTATAAAAGCAGTGAGTCACGGGTTAGTCATGCATTGTGTTCCCCGCAGTTATTTTATAACTGCTTTAATTAGCAGGCTCATCGTACAGGTAGGCCTCTGTGATAGAGCACGCACGGGCCTCGTCCTGCTGTTTGTATAGAAGGCCAAACAGCACCAGGATGCTTTTAGAGCTGTATATTGTTCTGCCCTCCTAATGACAGGTGCAGGATGACTGCTGGCTAGATTAATGGGGTCTACAACTCCTTCTGCACGCCAAATACGCTTAGAAGTGGAAAGGAAAAAAAGACTTTCAGAAGTCGTTCGTACAATCATTTTTTGTTGACTTTACGGGTTTCTGTAAAGGCAACTTAACGCATACTACATTTCCATTCTTATGGTCTAAGATTTTTTTTTTCTGCAATATCTTATCTGTGACTTATTTTTATTTCATCATAAAGTTATAAAGGAGACCTGCATAGCTTCCAGGAGTCCCGCAGTTGTGAGTCTGATTAATAGGGACATGGAGGATACTACTGAAATAGAGTGACAGACTGAGACGCAGTTGTAAACGATCTCAGGGACCAATAGGATAACTGTGCTGGACTTCAGCAGACACATTTTAACCACTTGAGCTCCAGAGGATTTACCCCCTTAATGACCAGGCCTCTTTTTGCTATTCGGCGCTGCACTAATTCAACTGATAATTGCGCGGTCATGCAATGCTGCACCCAAACAAAATTTACGTCCTTTTTTTCACACAAATAGAGCTTTCTTTCGGTGGTATTTGATCACCTGTGCGCTTTTTATTTTTCACGCTATAAACAAAAAAAGGCCAAAAATTTGGAAGAAAAACAATATTTTTTACTTTCAGCTATCAAAAATATATAGTAAACTCAAAGTTGGTTATAAATTTAGGCCAAAATGTATTCTGCTACATGTTTTTGGTAAAAAAAATCCCAATAAGTGTATATTGATTGCTTTGTGTGAAAGCTATAGCGTCTACAAACTATGGTATAAATACTGCAATTTATGCCATTTTTCTGCTATACAGCGCTGCGCTAGTTTAACGGACAATTGCGCGGTCATGCAATATGGTACATAAATGAAATTTACATCCTTTTTTTCCCCACAAATTGAGCTTTCTTTCGGTGGTATTTGATCGCCTGTGCGGTTTTTATTTTTTTGCGCTATAAAAAAAAAAGGCTGACAATTTTGAGGGAAAAAAAACAATATTTTGGACTTTTTGCTATAAAACATGTCCAGTAAAAAAAATATGCAAAAATCAAATTTAGTCATAAATTTCTGCCAAAATGCATTCTGTGACATGTCTTTGCTAAAAAAAAAAAAAAAAACCCAATACGTGTAAATCAATTGGTTTACGTGAAAGTTATAGCGTTTACAAATGGCGGGAAAGATAGTGGGATTTTTAGGGTTTTTTTTATACTAATAATGGCGGCGATCAGCGAATTATGGCGGCGATCAGCGACTTATGGCAGCAACCAGCGACTTATGGCGGGACTGTGGCGGACATTCTGACATTGGGGGGTTACTGACTTGGGGTCACTGACATCCCCAAAAACACGAATACAGTGATCAGTGCAAAAAAAAAAAAACTGACACTGTACTAATGGCAATGGGGAGGAAGGGGTTAACTTTATTTTGCAGGGAAGGGTTATAGGAGTGAGGGGAGTGTTTTACTAGGGGGCGGGGGGGTGTGTACTGGGCGGGACAAAGGCTGATCGAGAAAGAGAAACTGTTCTTTCTCGATCAGCTCATCCTCGAGCTACTGAGTACTGCTTGGACCTTGAAGAAGGGGACATACCCCGAAAGCTTGTCCTCAAAATTGTATGTTAGTGCAAATAAAAAAAGTATCACGGACAGTACTCAATTGTTTCTGTCGCAAATGCACTAATACGGCTTCAATCACCTCAAGCATGTTTTCCTCTGAAATGCAGTATGTCACTGTTATTACAGGGCTACACTGTCCATCAGGACAACAGTCTACTGTACACAACAAAAGTCAAACATCTTTTTCTA